ACTTGAATCGAGTTAGTGTTTTTTCGCTTCTAGATTCAGAATATAAAAGAAAAGTGTCTCAACGTAATACTCCAAATCGGTTATGGAACAGGAGACTTGATGGTAACTGGAACAATTGACAGTTCAGTGCCGCTTGTGCTACCCTTGATGGCTAGAAGAGGACTATACACAATGTCAATTGAAGCTATCAAGTATAGCAATTCCAGCAGACATACATTATTATAAGCAGTTGGCCACTTAGGCTCTTAGCGGGAGGTCACGTGAAGGAGTTTTAATGATGAGTACTTATCTGGTGGTACTATCACAGTCCCTCGCGATATCAACGGTCCCTTTTGCAAAAAAGTTTTTGAAAATTTGTTTTTCGAAATTCTAAAAGTTCACTTGGTTTGTATAAAAAGTATCAACTGGTTTTGGATACTCAGCTTGAGATTGAGTTACAAGGTACTTTTAACTATATAGCTACTGTAGTATTGCGAAATACTACACATACACAAAAGACCATTGTCTTAATTGTTTATTTAACGACCCAATTCTAAATTGGAGCGTGCCATTTAAATTAAAGCCTCTTTTCACTAAATCAGATATTGACTGATTTACTCTTATTAGGACTATAAAATCTTGTTTTGAAAATCCACTCCTTTTTAAATACTTGTGCAATTTTTCTCATTTTTTCATGCTCAATATTTTAAAAGGGCGGCGATTATTAATAAGTCCCTTTTAACTTAACTTGAAACAAACTGGATAAATATTTAGCAGTCTCGCCGGCTGCACTGAAAACTGAAATTCTCCTTGCTTTGATTAAGCAGAGGTGCACCTGCAATATGATGCATCAGAGAGAGTAATATGAATTTTTAATAAGACAAACTGAAGGCTGCGGTTTTTATCAAAGGGGACTAATAAGTTGAAGATATTTGATTTGAAAAAATCAAATAAAAAACTAGTTGAAATTCCCTTATTAAAAAGGGAGAACAAAGGAGCAGGTGAAACCTGAATAATTAAAGATTGAATCAGCCGCCGGTTTATGCTTATGAGCAAAAGGACTGGCCTGAAATCTTCAGTGTTTCATTTTGCTCAGTCAGCAGCAAGTCATTTCTCTTCAGTCAAATCTTTTAAAAATAAATAATTTTTCTTTTCTGCCCTAACACTAAAATTAATCTAGCCCTTTTCATTTAAAAAAAAAGAATAAATTCTCAGTTTAAGTTTGATTTGAAAAATTATAAATCGAGATACTCGAGATACGCACCCCCGAGGAAGTCTGGACTACAAGTACTCAAAGGACAACGGCAAGACGATTCAGACGACCCAACCAGAAGTGCTGACTTGGACAAACATCAAGGGCAACCATACATACTAATCAGCCACCGACCTTAGTAAGAAGATAAAATATTGATGAACAAAATAAGATTAGCTCAACCTCCCCTCATAGGTATATTTCTTTAAGCTGTTCGATTCATTTATATAATCTAATAACCCAGTGCTCTGTATCTAATCAACTAATTAATTCATACCTTTTCTAACTATTGTTTCTACTCTACTTTTTGTCAAGACAATTTGACGATCTAAGGTGAGACTTATAATTTAGGATAAAATTACTAAGCATTCAACCAGCAATGAACGCTTAGTAAAACTGGTGCGACCGCAGCAGAGAACTACTCCTTAAGAAATTCTTTTTCCAACAAACTAGAAACAGCTTTTAAAATTCAAAAAAATATATTAATATTAGGATCTGTGAGTATTTGTCAGATTAGTTTCCAACCTCAAAAAGCCAGAGACAATGGGTATCTTTCGATAGAAACACAATTTCATTGTCTTCTACTTGACAGATATTCCTGGTAGGGTTCTTGCGAAATGCATCCCCTGCGCTAACAGTCGCCCACGATATCCCTCCATCTCGAGGTCTATTAGACGGCTTTCTAACTGTCATTAGCTCATGAACTTAACTATTATCTATTATTATAATAATATATAAAATTTCTGAAAGAATCGTTCTCTGCCTAAGTTCGCTAGTAAGATATACCCGTTTTGTCCAGTAATCCACTAAAGTTTTGCCGAAACTTCAGTTTAAAGTTATCATCACTAAAATTAACGAAATTCTGTATTAAACTAAAGTGCTCAAAAACTTATTAAATATCTTCATTTATTTTTTCGAGGGGGTTAAGTGGTCATATGTGCGATCTAAGAGTACCCTAAATTGTATGATAAATTGAATTCTTCATCATATTATCTCAAACCATCCACGCTTGTTGCTATTTATCCTAATCCTTCATCAATTCTCGAGGCTTATCCTCAAATTTTCTTAAACTCATTTTAATTCTAACCACCTTAACGTAACTTAAACCTAAATCATCCATCAGTAAAGCTACCAATTACTGAAACTAAGGAAGAAAATAACAAAAACCAAAAAGGAAGGAACGGATTTGAGTGTTTTTTGATAAATCATTAGTTTTTTTTGACACAGTTTAAATATACACCTAATTAACAATAAGATTACGCACTGAAACCAATCTTAAACGTTAACCACATAACACCAAACACCAAGTTTTAGTTTCAGCACAAAAATATCAGGTTTCACAACAAAAACTAAGTTTAAAACACTGACACATCCACTTTATATTGATAAAATAGGTTTCATATGATAGCATAAGCACTAAAAAATTGATTTTTACCAGCCAAAATTTTTGGTTTCAGTCTAGGTTTCAGTTATAGGTTCAAACGTTTCAGTTAAAATAAGTATAGTTTCCGGTCAAAATTTTAAGTTTCTGTAAACGGATTCAGGTAAAACAGCAAAAGTTGAACTAGTCAAACCCAAATTTGGATACCATAAGTCAAAAACCTGGTCTTAAATGGTACGTTTTTGTTAGTTTCAGGTTTCAGAACACAAAAATTGAGTTTTTGGTCTCAAAATTGAGCTCCGAACGCCGAATTTTGACTTTCTAGAGAAAACTAACGGTGTTAAAACCCACCAAACCAATTTTAAGTTTTGGTTCCTAAGGCTGAAACATACGTTTCAGAATTGGTGTTTTTGGTTTCAGACCCAAAAACCTTGCTTCCCAAGTGAAATTTTTGTGAAATATTGAAAGATAATAGGAATCCTTAATGCACTAACAAATTTTTAAACTCAAAAAACTTCTAGAAGGTGTTAGTTTGAGCCCTCAAACTTATAGTTTCAGAAAACTAAAATCGTCGTTTTAAGCTAAAATTTTCATTTTTTTGGCAATTTTATTGCTGGAATAGAAATATATTAGAGAGACCAACCTAAATTTTCAATCTCAAAACTCTAAAACCAAGTGGTCAAACCATAGTTTCAGTTCTAGAAATCATAGTTTCAGCCCCAAAAACTTAGGTTTCCGCAAACAAAATTTTGATTTTGAAGTTGCAAACCTGTTCAAAATTCCAATTTACACTAGACCAGCTATCAAAAACCAACTTTTTATTTTCATGCACCGAGTTTGAGAGAGTTTAAGAGTTTTAGGTTTGAGTTTTCAAAAACTAAGTTTAAAATATCAAAAGATTCGGTTTTCTCGAATTTTTTTGCAAGATAAAGCAAAAACCAGATATAATAAAGCGTATAGAGAATTTTAAGATTAAAAAACTCAACTTCAGCTACCATAGTTTCATGTTTCAGATTATCGTTTCAGCCAAAAAATTTTATAAGAATTTTTAACAAAAAAATTAGGTTTTGAACCAATAATAACCAATAAAGGCATATAGTTGTATTGTTAACCATACCATAGCATCAATAAAACTTCACTTGAACAAAGTTTCAGGTTTCAGCTAAGGTTTCAGCGAATAAAAAACTTGAAAAACTTAGAAAAAAAAAAAAAAAAATTTTTTTTTCAAAGAAATTTATTTACTTTCCTTATCTTATTATTAATAACCTTTGTTAATATTCAATAATTCCTAAGAGGTTTTCATTACTCTAAGACATACTAATCAAATAATACAACTTGGCTTAAGAAAAAGAAAACAAACATCGTGAAATTAATGTCAACACATTTTAAAATTGACGTCAGTACAATAAATTTAAAGCTCAAATTAGGAAATAAAGTCTCTAACATCATATGGTATATCACTAACACTGAACAAAATCATATTAGTATATTAGCAAAACACCCTAACGAAGATAAACACGAATTATACGTCTTCTTTCGTCGATATACTCCAGAAATTGACACCATTCTTCAGCAAATAAAAATACCAAATAACATAATTTGTATACCGGAAGAGCGATTAATTGCTTCACTCCCGATTGCTTTCTGATATCATAATATACCCAAGCACAAAACTACTTGCATTTTAATCATTTTTTATTAAAAACACAAAATTTTTCCTTAACAAAAATTAAAAATAATAACAAGTTCATAAGAAAAATTTAAATATTTTTTATATTGTTTATCATTCCCTAGATAAATATTTATGTCCCTAAAAGGATGTAAAATGCTATGACCAACTTTTATCAAGTAAATACAACAGCATTTAATTTAAAACTAAAATTAAAAAATAAATCCACAAAAATTATTTGGTATATCACCAATATCCAAAAAGATCAAATCACAATTTTGTCCAAACACCCACACAAAAATATTCACGAATTAACCATTCTTTCCAGCAGCAATACCCCAGAGATAACTTCCATCTTAAAAAAGCTTAATCAGCCCCATAGCACTATTGATCTATCTAACAAAAATTCGTATTCATTGAACTCAGCAAACTTGATTGTAACTTAACTACAATTATTTCAGTCCGAACAATTGATCAGTATACAACACATCCAAACCGTTCATATATTGTTAACAAAACATTGAGTGAATTAAACAAAGATGGCAAACGTAGTAGCATACCCAGATTTAGCTCTCGAAAAGTTTACCGGCTTAGATCCGAATGAAGATGCAAGAGATTTTCTTGATATAGTAGAGAAAAAGATAGCATTTTCCCTAGGCACTAGACCAGGAGATGCAGGTGACGAACAAGACGCATATGATAACAGACAAAGAGCCTTATTTGGTTCAATATTAAGAGGTCCAGCCGCTCAATGGTATCAGGGATTAGCAGCAAACTTACCTTGGAATGATATAAGAGATCAATTCATAGATAGATTCACTGATGATAAAGATAAGTATAGGAGACGAATAGAAGCAGAAAACATAAAAAGACAACCTGATGAATTCATTAAAAGCTACATACATAGATTAAGCACCGCAGTAGACCGTGGATGGCCCAATCCAACTTTTAATGATGATCAAAGAACAGCAAAGAAAATGGAATTCTTTGTACGCGGCTTAAGCCCGCCAGGCTTGAAACAAAAGGCTCATCAATTCCTAATTGAGAATCCACCCGCAACATGGCAACAATTAAAAGATCATATTGCAACAAAAGACTTAAGTTTTGCAGTAAGTAGTGAGTTTACTGGAACAGCCTCAAGTAGTGTTGATAATAAGTTGGAGATAGAAGGAATAAAGGATCAGCTTAAGGAGTTAACAGGACTAATGAAAGATCATAAAATAAATGCAGCCTATAATCCAAATGAACCCAGAAATAAACAAAACCATACCCGATTTTGTAAATGGTGTCGTAGGTCAGGTCATACTATCAGTGTTTGTTTTAAATATAGAGACCACAAAGATCAAAACAGAAAACCACCTCAGTATCGTGAAAAATTCTCAGACAATTATAATAGGAGATCTAGGCCTCGAGAAGAAAATAGTTATAACAATCGATACAATGGCTATAATCAGCGAAATAACAATAACAGACCATATTCTCCGTATCCTAGACAGTTCAATAACAGAACAAATAGTTTCGATAGATCTCGATCTCAAAGTTTTGGATCAAGAGATAGAAATTTCAATAATAGATTTAACGATCAAAATAACCCAAATCGTTATAATACTTACAACACAGCCTCAAACAACTATAATCAAAATAGGAACAGAAGCAATTCTATACCCGATCGAAATAGAAGATCATTTTCACAAGACAATTATCGAACGCGATACCAAAACAGACCTCACGAAAATAAATTCCCATCCTACAATAATCAAGCAAGATCCCTAGGTGATTCAAAACCATCCTCCAGAGAAAATAGTCGAGACAGAAACCCTAAAGTACAATTTAGTGAGAATAAAATCCATGGCTATTACAGCGATGACGAAGGCGAAGAACTTACTTTAAACTAGAACAGTCTCCGCAAGATAAAAAGTCACAAATGTATATTAATCTATATCAACATCCCGTCGGAGACAAAAATAAAAATAACGGCCTTGAAACCCAATTTTTAGTAGATACTGGAGCAACTTGCTCACTGTTAAATTATGATACCTATTTAGAATACGCAAAAATACAAAAGTTGACACTTACTAAAGCACAATCCAAAACATTTGCTGTTAATGGACAAAAACTCAAACTCTTAGGATATACAAATTTTAACGCTAGTTTTGACAGTAAAGGTGATTATTTTGTAAAAATTCGAGCATGGGTTGCGGCCAAGGACGGATGTAAACTTAATATATTAGGTATGGATTTCCTCTCTAACTCAACTAAATCAATCGACTTTTCAACACCGAAACTAGAACTTAAAATGTACCCAGGAGTATCAGTCGCTATCAGCAATATAAAAAGCAAAAGCTATCCATTTATAAGTAGTTATCAGAATGTACTTTTAGACCAAACCATAACTTTAGCACCAAAATCAACTCGTGTCATCTCAATATCCCCAGCTGACAAAGTATTCAAAAAGGGAACATCGTTCAAACTAGATAAAGATCTACAACAAAAAGGAATATACACTTATAACACATATTGTAATCATGACGAGAAAACGTTACCTATAATGTTAAACAATCCTAAAGAATCGAAGGTCATTATATCCAAAGGTTCAATTGGACAAACTTTCGAGGACATTGAAACTGATTCAAAAACAATCTACAGCGTCGCAGACAATATAGCTTTTATGGAAGTTTTGTTCAACAAAAACGAACATCTAGATCATATTTTTCATGTAAGCGAGCAATCAAAAGATCAACTGTTCTTCAAAAACTCTTCAATTAGTGAAAATCATAAAAATTCAAAAAAGAAAAACAAGGAACTTTTGAAACAAAAAGAACTAGATTTTACAAATAAATACGAACTA